GATGGCTGATGTTTGAAGAAGTGTCAGGAGGACCAAAATGACCCCCTTACCTTTCACAGACGGCCGCTGACATGTAAAAAAAATCAAGTCCATCAGGGGTATCTTGCACAAGTAAAACCCAGTCACCCAAGCCAGGAATCATCGCCGGGACCTTCCGCCAGGCCACAACATCCTGAGACAGGTGGTGGCCAGGAACAGCAGTCAAGACTACTATCAAGTCCATGGCCGCTTTTGGCATGCAGGTGGGATCCTACATGTCAGCGGCCGCTTGAGAAATGGGATGGTCCACTGGTAAAATTTGCTGTGCAACCTCAACGTTTTCCAAGCTGTTGCCCCGCCGCATGGCACCTGTTGACCATCTTCGGGATGGACCCAGCCTGGGCAGAGGATTGGCCGGTGTTCACTGCATCCTTGCGAAATGCAGAGCAGTTGCAGCAACTCAAAGTAGACTTGCAAGCGTTGCCTGCGCCGTATCAGCGGCAACTCGATGGGCCGTGGCCTGGGAACAGGGTTGTCGCGTGCATGAACTCCAGGTCCGGACCAAAGGCTGCGCCTGCATGTCGCAAACAGGTTGCAATGAATCGGGGCATTTTTGACTCCGTTGCCAGCGATCTTTGAGTGACGACCCGCCGGATTTTGCACATGGAGATGTGCACGGCGAAGCCCGCGCTCTGTCCGCCAAAGTTCTTGCTGACAGGGGTGAGGCTGCAATCCAGGGCACGGCCGCACAACATCTTCTTCGCGAGGGGGATAAACGCAAGCAGACGTAGCTTCATCAAGCGCCACGCGCGAGCAGCATTGTCCGACGATAAACGCTGATATATAAGAGCCTCAGTGGGCACAGCAATTCCCGCTTAATTCGGGGCAACTGCCCTGCAAGGCAGCGACTGGGCAGGCCTGATAGAGGTGCGCAGAGGCCAGTTGCGTGCACCCCCGGGCCACATCAACAAAACGTTGAGCCCACCATGAGCTTGAAATCGCGTCAGCGTGGCGATTATGGCGAAAACACGTCTCGCACCCTTTTACTCGCAGATTCTCGTGCATCCACTGATGCCAAGGAATGCGGCTGGGCCCCTTTGCGTCCGTGAGCTGGAATTTTCCCACACGTTTGCCTAGTGGAGTCTTTGTTTTGAGCTGCTATTTCTTCCAAACATGTCCAAACCCAGCTCGTTGGTGTCCGACTGCAAAACAACAGCTTTTTGAGACTATCGACACATGTCGTTTCGCAAAGGGTCCGGGGCCTCGGTACTGTAAGGATGTCGGTTGGGTATCGGCATTGGTTTCTTTAGACTGCACTCCATTTGATTTTTTCCCTGGAATTTTATCGACAGCGTGTGTGCAAGGCGTTTTGGTCGGGTATCGGTCATACACGCCT